CATTATTCTGGAGTTTTCAAACCTAATTTATTTACATTTACTGCAATTTCTGTGGATTTTTCCAAGCCTCAGGTGTAATAAGGCAAAAAAATATAAGTATTTATACAGCATGGAAATACCCCTCTCTGCATGCACACAAATAGGGTTCATCACCTCAGCCACCTCTGAAATGCTTTCATCTTTAAATTGCAAGGGGATAACAGCTCTTGAGGATACAAAACAGCATTGTCACAGACTGGAAATACAGAACAGGTCACCTACTATCCCAGCATGAATTGCTTAGCTGGGAATACAGAGTGTAGAGGATGACACTCTCGGGTGGAGTTACGAAAACCTGAAAACAATCCAAAGGAAGATGCATTTAAGACATTTAGATCTCTGTCTAGTGCTCCTAGTCATACATTGTACTTCAGGGAGAAAAAAAAGGTTGATTTTAATATAAAATTCTGTTTCTTCCATGTGTGTTCTCCTTTTAGGAAGCTACAATATTACCAATGTCTTGCCTTCAGCTCCTGATATAGCTCAGTTTAAACAAGGAGTGAAATCCGTGGCTGGAAAACTTTCTGTCCTTGCTAATGGAGTCATGACATCTATACAGGTGAGTAAAAATGTCACAATCTATTAACCATCAGTTGAAGTCTTTCTGTAGGGATTTAGTACCATGGATCCAGCCACTGAGTTATCTTAAGAGAGAAAAGAGTGAATTTGGTTTTGAGCTCTGTAGACCTCTCAAAGTAGACATTAAATCTTCATAATTAAAAAAAAATAAATCTGTATCTGCTAGCTCACATTCATTAGGATATCTTGTTTCTTACAATTAAAACAAAAAAATCCCATCATGAGTTATTTGTTGTCACTCTGTTTTTAAAGTTGTCCCTGTTCCTAACTCAGAATGGAATAGTTTGGTTGGAAGGGATCTGCAGTGATCATCCAGCCCAGCTCTTGTGTTGTCTCTTTCATTGACCTTTGATGCATGTTTTTGTATGAAATAAGCCATCCTGGCCTCAGTGTCCAGCATGGTTTGTGCTCCAGTCACTTGGCAATTCCTCTGTGAGCTCTCAGGTGTTTGAAACTCAGGCTGATTATCCTGGAATTCAACCCTAAACTCCAGTTCTTGGAAGCACTGGTCAATTTTCTGAAAATCTTGAAGAACTCAGTAGCTCTTCATTGCACAAATGGAATTAAAATGGATTTCTTTCCATGGAAAACCCACTCATCTGGTTTGTTACTTGTTTTTACTTTTCTAGGATCGATATGGTTCCTAACTGCAGCTAAAGAAGGATTCTTCTTCAGGCACACAAGTAATCACTCTGCTGATTCAAATGAAGGTTGCCTTAAGACTGATGATGTTTTTACCTTAGTGCAGATTTCTGACTCAGCCTCTTCTTAGTGTTGTTTCATCTTACCAGAGCAGAAATCTTGCAGCAACTTGTTACATTGCATATACTTTTTCTTTTTTCTTCCTTTCCAGTCTTTATTTCTTAACAACCTTTTGGTTAGATAAGCTTGGGAGCTTTATTTCATTACTGGCTCTGTCTGTGAGGCAGGAGTGAGAAAGGAGGTGGTGGTGTTTAGTAGACTGTAGGAAAATACACATTTAAATTAAACCTGTGCTTGCCAAGAAGTAAAAGCTCTTGAAGTCATAAATTGATGTGCATTAAAATGGTGGGGAATTAGTGGTTTAAAACAGTATTCCAGCTAGAAGGTTCTGTGCTTAGATGTGAAGTGTGGAGAAGTCAAAATGTGGTAATAACTGAATAGTGGATTTCACCTTGTTGTGGGGACTGTCTATTTATTCCTAGTTTTGAAAGTTACAAAAAAAATTTGCAATATAGAATCCTTAAGTGCTTTTAAAAATTCTGTATTGTGTAAAAATTGAAAAAAAAAAACTTGAAATATACTAAGGGCCTAATAGAGTAGTTAATGAAATACTTGTTAAAATGTCTAGCACAATCTTAGATTTTTGATAAATTATCAGTTACTGAATAAGGAAATAGTGGGGCTGTGTTTTAGACAGTCTAGAATTTATTGCTGATGACATCTTGCATAAAAATTATTATGACCTTAAAGAAAAAAAACTTTACAACCAAGAATGAATTCAAGTTAATTCTGTTCTGTAATTTTCTTAATTCAAATTTGTAAACTGCTGATATCTAATAAAAACAATTGATATAAACTCAGTTTTGAATTCAGTTTCTATGTGTGGTCGTCAGTATCCAGCTTTCTAAACACTGTCATCTGTATTTTGTCTATACAGTGGTCTGGTAAAATTAGCTTTTAGTTTTAGTTTCAGGTAGTTAAACTTGCTTTCTTACTAAATTGCTGTGGCATGATTTAGAAATCTAAACACTAAAGTTGGGGGTAGAAAATAAACTACTGAACTGAGATACTGTATTAAATACAGTTAACAGTATAGCTGTATTTGGGATTTAATTTCTACCTGCCTCATATTTAATTCCTACTTCTGATAACCTGTTCTTGTGGCTGTTTGGTTTAGATTTATTGATTAAATTTATTCATTAAAAAATTACCTTTCTTTTTTAACAGAGTTCCAAGATGAGCATTTGTTCTGCCTAATTGTACAGATTTACAACAAAAGATTGCTTTCCTACCTCCTTTCCCACCCTATAGAGATGGTTTTGGTAATGTAACAAAAAAATGTGGTGCTCAGGGCATTCTTTGGTTTTTCCCTAATTACAGGTAGCAGATTTTGGCTTTCAAAGCATTCTTCGTCTGAGTGTACACATAAATTTATTCCAAAAATATTAAGATCAATTTTTTGGAGTTGTGATACACAAACAGCATCCAAATTTGCAGAAGAGATGCTCCTCCAGTGTCTGGGCTGCATATTCAGACATCTGAGGATGGATGCAGGTGCTTAAATTAGGGCAGGGGAGGGGAAGGAGGTGTAGTTCTGTCCCTTCTCATGGTTCCTCATTTGTGACATCAGCTACACTGCAGTAATTGTGTCCTGGTTTTATGCATTGTTGCAAACTAGTCGTAGATGGAAAAATACAAAAATACGTATTTATAAATGCTTTTGTGGCAAATTTCTAAGGGAGACTTGGCATTGGTCACCAGTTGTGTTTTGTTGCAGTTCTTAATTGTCTCTTCCCACTGTTCCACATCTTGCTTTCCCCAAAACCAGCAGCAGCAACTGTGAGCCATGCAAGTTAAGCTTTCCTCTTAAAATCCTGTAAGGACACTGCATATAATGGAACGGGGGAAAAGTTATTTAATACTTTCTTTTTCAAGGAGTTTATTTCTGATGGTTAACTTGAAAGAAAAAATGTTTAAACATTGGAATGAGGATTAATTCTGTGTCCTGTTCTCCTCTTCCCCAAGTGAGCTGTGAACAGAATCTTTTGCTCTTGTTTTAATGCTGTCACTCTGGTCTGCTCAACATCAGTTTGTCTCACTGCTGGAAGATGTAATTCCAGAGCCATCCAAGATATTTTTAGAAGGATTTTGCAGTGCAAGAATGAGCTGAGTGACTCCCCATCACAGAAGACTGTAAGTGTTGGTGTAGCTGCCTGTGTTTTCACAGCTCTGCTGTCCTGCTGAGCCAGAGGACTCCAGCTGTCATTGTCAATCAGGGCTGAAGCTGAAGAGCACCTAAAACAGGCTGTGCTTCTACAGAAGTCAGGGCTTTTTGCATATCCATGCATATGAGACTGGATTCTCTTGATGAATAATGATGAAGCAGACCTGGAGAGGGTACAAAGCAGAGAAGTTGAGGCCATTCCTTGTTCTGCTGCTCACAATTTCACAGACACTCGGTGGCACTGTCCTTGTCTCCCTGCAAGATCAGCTGCAACTGTCAGTGATCACTTTTACTCTTCAGAGAAGGGAACAGGGCTGGGGAAAGGGACTGCAGTGCTCAGAGGAGTGGCTGGAGGGGCTCAGCCTGGAGAAAAGGAGGCTCAGGGGGAACCTTCTGGCTCTGCACAACTCCCTGACAGGAGGGGACAGCCAGGGGAAGTGTGGGCTCTGCTTCCAGGAAACAAGGAACAGGAGAAGGGGAAATGGTTTCAAGCTGTGCCAGGGAAGGCACAGGTTGAACAGCAGGAAGAAATTCTTCACAGAAAGGCAGACTGGACACCAGGTAGTGGAGTCCCCCTCCCTGGAGGTGTTTAAAGAAAAGCTGGACGTGTCACTCAGTGCCTGGTTGGTTGGTCACGGACTGGGCTCAATGAGAGGTCTTTCCAGCCTGGAGGATTCTGTGACTAATGAAAGGCTTTGTTCTCTGGCAGTCATCTGCAGCCTTTCTGGCACCTACCCAGCCAGTGGATCCGGGCCCATGCCGCTCGGTGCAGTGGATTCTCAGCCCAGGCTGCAGCAGGACCGGCGCTTGGAGCGTTGTATGGAGCCCGAGGTGCCGAGATGGTACCGGCATCCGGGCCCAGGAATTCGGATCTGGGTCCTGCTGGTGTCTGCTGGGGATCCTGGGCCGAGCCGCTTCTTTCTCGCCAGATGCGATACGGGATTTGGATTTGTCATGGGGCCCGGGATTGCTGCGGGCGGGAGGACCCGCTCCGAGACGGGCGCTGGGGTCGAGCCTGGCGCTGCTGCTCCGGCCGGCGCGGGGCTGGGGTTCTGCTGGGGCTCCGGGCACGGTCCCGCTGCGGCCGCGGGGAGCTGGGGCTGTGCCGGTACCGGTGCCGGGAGGAGGGCGGCGGTTCCCGGAGCAGGCGCTGGATCGCGGCTGGAAGCGGGCGGGGCGCGGGGACCGCCCGTGCCGGCCCCGGGACCCCCCGACGCCGCCGCTCCCTCAGCGCCGCCCGCCCCGTGGGGCGCCCCCTGGCGGACACCGTGCGGCGGTGCGAGCGCAGCGCCCCCTGCTGGGCAGGGCCGGCCCGGCCCGGGACCCCCGAGGGCACCGAACCGGAGGCACCGAACCGAGCCCCGGGCCCAGCACCTGCCGGGTGAGACCTGATGCTCTCCCTCCTCTCCCCCACTTTCTCTGTGGCTCGCACTTTCCAATGGAAAAAACCTCTGGGTTTAAAAAGCCAGTGAAAACGGTTTACTTTTTATTTCCAGAGCACAGGAGATTCTGAGTTGGAAAGAGCCAGGAGGATCATTAAGTCAAACTGTGGTAAGTGCTTGGCCCATGTGGGGACTGAATTCAGAATCTTGGCCTTCTTAGCACCCTGCTCCAAGCGCCTGAGCCAATCTCAGGGTCATGAGGAAGGTCCTGCCTGGGGTGGGAACAGCTGCTGCCAGCAAGGGAATTCTTATGCTAATGCAGCTCCTTCTTTTCTGTTAATGCTGCTTTACACATCAGTACCAAACTCTTCCCACCCCTTCCAGGATTTACTCAGCAACTGTAAAGATGCTCATTCCATGTCCCTTTCCAGAAGAAATGAGCAGAACAAGTCCTGAGGGTTCACTTGGTTCATGGCCAAAGCTCTTCTGGAGAGTGTCAGGGCTGGTCCAGCCTGCAGAGGGGCGTTTGCTGCAGGTGAGTGTTCACAGCCCAAAATCACAGCAGGAGCTGAGGCTGGGGCTGCCTTTCAGGCCCAGAGCTGCACGGAGCCCTCAGTGACTGCCACTCACTGCCAGGAACGTTCCTTGGTGTTTCCTCAGTGTGTCCCAGCTGCCTGGGAATGCGGGGCAGGAGGAGGCTGGGAGCCCCAGAAAGGGAACCAGCACCTCTTGTCCTCGGTGTTTGCAGGGGAGGAGCTGTGCCTGCAGTGTCCTGCCCGTGGCACACAGCGTGCCAAGCACACATCCCGGGGATGGGCACTGGGATTCCTGGGCAGTGCTGGCATGGATGTGGATAAAGGGCTGCCCACAGCTCCTGGGCCAGGGGCTGCCCTGAACAGGCACCTGGTGATGCTTCAGCCTGGACAGACCCCACTGACACCCCAAAATTACCCCAAGGAACAGCTGGCAGTACCTGGGAATGTCAGCAGGGTGGGTTTGCAGAGGGGCTCAGACAGCAATTCCTGGTGCTGACCTCCCAGAGCTCCTGCACACTCCCAGGTACGTCCCACCCACCCCAAATCCCTTCCAGCCTGGACACATCATCCATCAGCACTGTTAAAGCCAAGGGAATCTTCCCTCATACAGAAATTAAACCCCAAGCAATAGCCCTCAGAGATGCCTTAAAATGAAAGGTTAGAGTTGGACGTTTTGTTTGGATTTACTTTAGAGTTTTTCAGGGAGCCAACTGGAACTACAGAACTGCTGGAAAGCTTTCACAGGTGGGTCCCACTGAAGGTGTGCTGAAAGCAGGGATGTGCATCCCTTTCCTCAGGGAAAAGAACTTGCAGAGGCCACTCCTGAGGCTCTGAAATGAGCTCAGCTTCTGCAGGGAGAGATGTCCTCCCCTGGGCACAGCCGGGAGCCTGTCCAGCCACCTCCTTCTGATTAAAATATCAACTGAAGCCTGAGCTGGAGGGGAGGGAAATGACAGAGGTCCCTGGAATTCAGCCGAAGTGTCCCCCAGGGACACTTTATATGGAATATAAACCTGTCCTTGTCCCAGTCCAACTGAGCTTCCCTGGAACCTCTGCTGGTTCCTGACACAGCTGGTGTTCAGTGGCAGCTCTGCATGGGAATATTCAGGCTCCATGAGGCACTGCCAGGTTATTGCAGCAGGAATTCAGCAGGGAATTTGAGGTTGTGGGTATAATTCATCTGAACTAGCAAAGCTGATACTGAGCCCCAAATTTTGCCCCCAAAGTGTCCATTCTGTTCCCACAGGTGCCCTGGTGACACAGGGAGGTCCCTGTGTCCACGGTGCCTTTCTGCTGTCCCTCTCCAGCCCAAGGCTGTTCCTCTGCTGCCTCCCTCGGCCCTGGTCCAACACGGTGGGGCACAAAAGGGAAAAGGTTTGAGAACATCAGCACATTTCTCTGTTTCAAAACATCTCTCATCAAATTATCTTTGTACACTTTGCACGTGAGGTTTTTTTTTTTTGTAAAAAACCCCATGTTTTCCTATTCAGACTAATTTTGAAATTTTTAAGAAAATCATGATCTCACAAGGACTCACAGAAATTCTTCCAATGCCATTTGCTGTTTAGCTGCCTGCCAGGGCACCAACAAGTTCTGAGTCAGTTCTTGTTACATGCTTGCCAGTGACCTCGAGACAAAAAGGTATGGTTATTGCTGTCAATTATTGCTACAGGCTTTGGGTTCACACCTGGGTTACAGTTCTTTTCTTTTCTGTTAATATAAGGAGACAGACATCAACTTACTTCAGCTGACTTGTCCATTCCCTGCTCTGCTCTCACAAACCCTTCAAACCACTCAAAGCCAGCACTGCTGCACATCCTTACAACAGAACAGCAGTTTATTCACAGGGGGTTTCTTCTAACACATATTTCCCATAATGTGTCCAGAACAATCCAAGTGCTTATTTTACATCTCCATAAGTGTGGCCAAAGCCCCAGGTACACCAAATTTTAAAAGTGTACCAATAGAAGCACCAACAGATTTAAGTATTATTCTTCACACAACAACTAATCCAATTAACTACTGTGCACTTAGACTGCCTGGTGTGGGAGGGTCACTAGAGCTTCTGTGTATCCTGAAATACAAAGCATGAAAAGAAAAATTTTTCCACAAAACAAAATTTAAAAAACATCATAGAAAATAATGCCATACACTAGAAAATGCCTTTTTAATTTTAAGCGTCCTGGAAATTAATCGTAACCCTAGAACTCAAACATCCATTAAAAACAAAAAACCGGACATGAAATGATCAAAAGCAGCAAATACTGGACAAACCTTCAAACAAGCATCATTCTGGAAAATGGGCTCTCCAAGTCTCTTTGCCTCATCCAAAGCCTCTCTCCATCCTCAGGGATCACTGCACTCACTCCAGGGTAGTTGGCAGGAAAAAGAGAGTGGCAAGTGGAGAGATATCACAGCTTCCCTGGGATCTTTTCTCCTTTGACCCTTGCAGGCTGTGACCACTGACTAGGAAATGCTCTATGGGAACCCAGTGTGAGGTACAGGGAGCATGGGTGGACTGGTGAGCTGGGTCAGCTTATCAAGAATTTGCTTCCTTGGCTGTGTTTTAGACTCAGAAGTTCCCCTGCACAGCTCCCAAAATAGTAACAACCTCACTTTTGAAGTTTGTGGGCTCTGGTTTCCTTCAAGGCTTTTTAGGGTGGGGAGATTTGCACATTTTGAAGGAACACTGAAGGCTCTGTGCTTTCCTGTCCTGCCCAGGTACAATTTGATGTCAGCGTGGGCATCGCACTTCAAGGCTTCCTTCTGCAACGCTAACAAAACCCTCTGGGTGTCCGTGTCCATCCTGGTGCTGCTGGCTGCTCTCACGAGCTTCCTGACGGGGCTGTCCCTGCAGAGGCCAGCAGATGCAGCCCCTGTGGGCACTGGGGACTCCTGGACATCACTGCAGCAGCTGCTGTGGCCCTACACAGGACTGCAACACCACGGCCCTCCCCCGGTATAACCCCGGCCCCGCCGCCCGAGCGCCACTGCCACGGCTGCAGGACAGGAGCTGGAGCTGCCACTTAGTGCAGGTTACACGCTGGATTTGTTCTGCTGGGTTGAAGGTATTTTTTTGGGGGGAGAGATCAATTTTTTTTTAAAGCATGACTTGAAATGGAAAAAAAAGTATCTTCTTACCATTCTAACAAAAGTCATCCTTAAAAGTAGCTAAAAGGGTCTTAGTTCTATTGAGGTTTACAACAGAACAGCAATTTTGTTCTACAAAACATATCTAGGTGGTCTAATCACAACTGAACAAAGCATTTATTTTGCCTGAGCAAAGATAAAATGTTTGCGTTTTAGATCCTGTTTCAATGATTTGAATAGAAAAGGATTTAAGACTTGAAATGTAACTTTATTGAAAGCTTTTGATAATAAAGTTTTAAAGGAAAGCATTCAGTATCTAAGAGTATGCTAAAATTCGGGTAGCAAGGAGCAGCTGATACACAGAATCAATAAACAGGAAGCCAGCTCTTTCCACTTTACCCATGGCTTTGCTGCTGGCAGAATCCTTGAGCATATGGTAGAGTGTGGAGTGAAATTCAGACTCTTCTTCCAGCTCTTCTGAAAAAGCTTCACTGGTTTCAGTGAGTTTGAGGTTTTGTACTCTCTCACCACTGAACATATAAAGAGACCAGTCCTTGTCTTTGGCAGAGCCTGCTGTAAGATGTTCACTCACCTATTGCAGGAAAAAATGCACGGTGAGGTGAAGCCTGTGCCACTGCCAGAGTACAAATTCTAATATTTGTGTGTCACATGCATTAACCTGAGAGTGAGAGAGCCACTCCAGCTTTCAGCAGTGGGCTGTGTTACCTTTCTCCAGCCACATGTGGGAGCGTTTGGCTGGCTGGGAGAAGTTTTAACCAGTTTTTAGCTCCCAGGTGGAGACAAATCAACACTGAGGTTGCTTATTCCCCCCTTTGCAGTAGGGAGCAAAAGAAGCCCTAGAGGCAGGAACAAAGCCCAGCTGGTCCTTAAAAAGTTGGCAGAGCAGATCACTGATTTTCAAGGGACCTCTGAAGAGCATGAAGCTCTGTCACCCCAGCTCTGCCTAAAGCTTCCCTTGGTGCTTTATCAGTTACATTTTCCTTAGCAAGTGTCTTTGCTGACACCTGTGTCCCCTGAGAGCTCTCTCAAGTGCAGTCTGTGACTCTGAACTGAGGCAGGAGCTGAAGCCACCATGGGTGAGTTAATTCTTTCTGTCTAACTGGGGAAGGGGTCAGTCCTGGACTGCCCTGGAGGTCTGGTCTGACTCCACAAACCTTGAACACAACTCGTTCTGGCCCTGCTTCTCCATTCCACTTGCTGTGAGCAAAAGCAAAAGCAGCTGCAAGCAGAGCCATCTGTTCATAGGCCTTCACTTCTGCTGGGGCAGCCTGCAGTGCACAAGCACAGATCAGACAAAACAGATCTCACTCATTTCCCTGTGCTACAGCCATGTCAGAGCCTGCTTTCCTCAGTCCCTGGCTCAGCTGGCAGCACAGGAGGTCCCAGTGCAGGAAAGGGTGACCTGAGAGATAAACAGGGGTAAAAGCCACCAGGAAACTCCCTGGCACTCACCTTCCTGTGCACAGGGACATACTCAGGAGAGTACCCTGCTGGGAAAATGTTCACTCCAGCTCCTTTCAAAGCTTCTCTGAGGGCAAAAGGACTCATCCATTTTCCTGTGATGTGGGAAAGCACCTTCTCTTCTTCCACCACTACTGAAGACAACATACACTGATTATCCTGTTGTACAAACCAGTGAAAGCAACTTACTGGTCAGGGAAGCTCCTTTCTGGTTTAGGCTTCAAATATTGATGTTTTGGCTATATAGGTATATACCCAAATCATCTGTTACTCTGGGGTGTGACCTTTCATTTACAGGTCCTGAAGAAAGCCAGCTTTGTGTAGGAATTCAGAAATGACACTGGTGTACTGACCTGTACACCAATGAACAGATGGATAATCATGAGTAGCTTGAACTTTGAGAGGAAACAAGGAGCATTAGCAGTAGGCTGCTAGAAATCCTTGTATTTCTCCTGGTAGAGGTGGGAGGAGAGAGGAACAGTTTTCAGGTCTCTAACAGGTGGAACAGACCTGAATGCAGCACCAGCAGCAAAGCACTGATTGAAACTTCCAGAGCAAATGCACAGATGCTTTCTCATAGTAAATAACTGAAATTAAATAACCAGTGCAGTGCTCGGGAAGGAAGAGACACTCAAATTGCTCTTGTGGAAGCATCCCAGATTCTTAATCAGGGACACTGTAATAATGATAGGTTTTTTTAACTGAAAATGTTTGATTAAAAAAATTATTGACAGTACCTTAATTTGTATCTGAATGGTTGCAAAGACTGCAGTAACTGTGAAGAGTCCTTCATCCACACCAGTAGGATGCAATTCCCAGGCCTGATAGGGCAGGTTCAGGTGAGCATCCTGGAGAAGGGCTACTGTATAAAAGGCACCCATCCTAAAGGAGATGCTCTTTTCTTCTGCTTCATAGGTTATGTTGCTGATGCCATCAGTTCTCCACTGCTGGCCTGGACAAAGAGAATGGAAAGATACAATGATGTACATGGAAGGCTTCTGCCAGTAATGCTGAAGTAAAACAAACCAAAAAAGTAATAATAATTGATTTGGGGATTTTAAGGTGGTTTTTTTTAACACTGAAGTCCCCAAACTATTTCTGGGCTCCAAACTGGCCCTTATATTTACAGCTGGATTGCAACAAGAGTTCAGCTCAGGTATAAATTCCACTATTGAATTTTAAAATACATTTCTGTCCTAAGTTCGTACCTGCAGGCTCCCATCGGGCTACCACAGGCACTTTAAAATAAATCACATTATCAGGAAGCTTCAGGGTTATTTGTACTGTTTCCTGTGTGCCATCTTCAGCCTCTCCTGGGGAATATGGATAGAGCTCCAATCCAACATCCAGCAGCTTTGGCAAGAGAGGAAAAGGACAGATAAAGGGTTTATCAGAAAATGCAGGGTTTTTTCCTTGAGTTCATCTCACCACTGCTAAGTTTTTTAACGGACCATTTAAAAGGGTTTGCTAATGTTGCACATTTCCAACTACAACTTTGAAGGCAATAGAAGAGTAGCTACCCCGAGACCTTGGAACCCTTCCTGTGCTGCTGAAGGCACCCTCAAGGCAGGGTGGCACAGCCCTTTCTAACGGAGCCCCAGCCTCAGAAAGCAGGAGCAGCTGGGAGGCAGGAGCAGCTGTAATTCCACCCTGTCCCCAGTGTCAGAGGGAAGGAGAGGTCACAGGGGGCTGGGGATGAACAGGCCAGGGCTCTTCCCCTGCCCTCAGTCCTGCTCTCCGAGTCTGGCTTATTGGGAATTCTGCTTATTAAAGGTTTCCAGCTTCACAGTGCAATCTGGGGAGTAGCTCAGCACCAGAGGAAACCAGAGCACAGTGCCCACAGTCCTCAGCCAGATGAAGAGCCTGGAGCTGGTCCAGCAGTGATTTTTGGTACCACCCTGCTTTCACCTTTCACATATGAAAAACTGATGATTTGCAAACCTTGCCTCGTTAGTTTGCTGCTCAGGAAGTCGTGTCCAGTGCATGTGGCAGCAGTGACAAACGTCAGGAGCAGCTCCCCAGAGGTGCCAGGGCTGATCCCTGCCCTCCCTCACCTCCACCATGCTCCAGTCCCCGACGTCCTGGGCCTGTGGCGGCAGCTGCAGGGCAGCGATGTGGTACACACCCCCCACGGGCACCAGCTGCTGCACATCAACAACCCTCGGTGCCTCTTCTCTGCCTCCTGGCTCCTCCTGCAGCGGCGCTTCCTCTCCTGCAAAGTTCAGCAGACAGCAGGAGTTAACCCGGCGCTCCCACTCGGCGGCATTTCCCAGCTCTCCTGATCCTCCCGTGTGCTGGGAGCGCTTCACTGCAGCAGCTCAGCCCCATCTGCTGGTGCTCCTCAATCATCCCTGATGTGGGCAAAGGCACAGCTGGGCACTGAAAAGCTCTTCTTGCTTTGGGGCTGAGCTTTTGGATTTGTGGCCAGCTCCAAATGCTTTCTATAGGAATAAGGTTTTACTGACAGAATGAGTCCATCATTGCCCGCAGAAGAATTTCACGAGCACAATAATACAGTAGGTTCTGGACGGGTTTAGTAAGATTGTATTGATATGAAAAGAAATTAAGCAAATAAAAAGATATATACAAATAAGGCACCAAAAGGTCATGTGCTGAAGGTGAAAGACATGGTAATTAGGAAGAGCAAGAGGAATTTAACATGAAACATAATTTTCAGAAAACAAAGGATTCCTTTTTCTTCTATGCATAATTATATATATATATAACAAATGTATGAAGTTAAGGTTTAATTAGTTGGAAAAACTAAAACACTGTGGACAAAAATGGCCATAAATATTTTCTTTATAAAAACCAAACCAGCCCATATAAAATATCACACGGGATGGTACAGGATGAAAGAAGTTACTGGTGACAGAAATCAAGAAAAAAGCGTTCAATACTTTAAAAACAGCTACCGTAATTGTTATGAAATTTGCTCTGAGAGAATAAGACCATATAAAAAAATGACAACTCTATCTATAAATTGTCTTCAAGCTTAAAACAAAAAGAGTCAAAATAGTGTTAATTTTATGTCAGATTTCGTTACATTCTGCAGAGGTTTTACTCTACTGTATCACACACCACCATAATGTCCTTTTGCAGTTATTCTGAACAACAAAGTTACCAGAAGTAAAAAAAAAATTCACTGCATTTTAAGTGGTAGTTTGCACTTTAACTTGTTTTTTTTAAATAATAATATAAGTATCTTCTAAAGAAATTATTTATTGTCCCAAAGTAATTTATCTCCTTAACTGTAGTACAATAAGGATAAATCCAGAGAAACTATCACTCTTCTCTATTGTTGCATGTCTGGTTTTTAACCCTCATTTACCTGGCTCTTTGTTTTGACCTTAAGGTAACTGAGCATCCTTTCACTGCTATTCTCAAAAGTGATTGAAAGGGTTTGCAAACCATGAGTGTGCCAGAAAAAGCAGCTTTTTCCTTCTTTCCTTATTAGAACAGAAGAACAAGCTGGAAAATACTCAGGTATATTTGGTATCTGTGCACATCCACTTCACCTAATACTGTGGCAGGGGTTTTCAAAGCCTGACAGAAGTAAAATACAAATTCCTCCATATAAGGCCCAAGTCCTTTATATTCTCTTGAAAACCTTGCTTTGAGGGTCTAGTCTGACAACTGGTTCTCTGGACTGTGCTCAGTCCAAAGTGTTGTAGAGTGGGGTTTGGTTTTTTACCAGAAGAAAAAGTCTCTAAAGTGGAGCTAAATGATGCTAATAGTTGTTTGCAGGTGTTTTATTTAAGTCAGTAGCACAAGAAAGGTCACTGTTATTAAACCAAAGGACAACACCATAACACTGGAGAAATCTGCAACTTATGTGGGACAGATAAACAGTTTTATTTCCTAGAATTAGAGCCTCTCAGTTTAAGCACCCATAATACTCAGTAACACTCCATACTACATCAATGCCTACCATGATATGCATTGGAATCATCATAGATTGTGTGTCTCACCCATACACATAGGTATAATAATACACATATGTATATGAACATCATAAACATGTAGATAAGCATAAATAATAAATAAATAAAAACAAGTGTGGGGACAAACTCCATTTTCCTATCTGTCCTGTTATCTCTCCACATTTAACAATCATTAATAAAAATGTCAATAAAACCCAAGTGTTATCAAAACATCCCTATATTTATAAGCTTTGGAGAGGTTACAGTGTTTCCATGGATCATAGAATGGCCTGGGTTGGAATGGACCTTAAAGTCCAGTTCCAGCCCCCTGGACATCTTCTACTATCCCAGGTTGCTCCAGAGCCCCCTCCAGCCTGGCCTTGGACACTGCCAGGGATGGGGCAGCCACAGCTGCTCTGGGTAACCTGTGCCAGGGCCACCCACACTCACAGGGAACCATTTTTAACATATAAAATACTTAGCCTAAGTAGTGCAGCACATAAAAAAATAACCAAAATACCTTGTGATGTCACATCCAAAATGTCTGAATTCTTCTCAGTTTCCTCCTCTGTCTCTTTTGCATCATCTGTGTTACTGATGTTTTCTTTCAGTGAGGCAGCACTCTCCTAGACAAAAAGCAAGGGACATTTTTCCATTATTCAGAGACAAACACAATGAAGAAGAAGGTATCACCTCCTTCAAGGAGGCCCAAGGAGAAGGGATACAGAAACATTTGTACCAATCTTGCCACAGTGTCAAGGCTTTAAGAGAAATAATTTCTACATAGCTAGCAAAAATATTTTTATTAAAGTACTCTCCAATTTGGAACTAGATTTATAGAGACAAAGTAATTACTTCATTTCCACAGCAAATTCCATCTTGATCTCCCTGAGTACCAAGCAAACACCCAACACTTTTTCAGCAGAGTATGCATTCAAAAGTTGTGGTTTTGCTGATTTTACAGCCAGCAGAGTGACACAAAGTAAAATGCAAGTCGAGGCTGAATCCAAACCAACACTGAAACTGTACCAGAACCCACCTGTAGCTTTGGCCTGTGCCTAGCCCATGATACTTTTCCCTTTCACACTGTATTTCACTGTATTTACACACAGGAACCTGGGGGAGCTCAAGGCACAGCCAGACAGAAGGATGCTGAGAAACATTCCCTTGGATTTCCAGACAAATATCCAACCCAGACACGGATTCATCCATGCCACAGCAGACTCCTCTGGAGGCACAGCACTTTTTGTGCCCTGGTGGGAAGAACACACATCTCCTCAAGCAGGACAGGAAGGTGAGAGGACAGAAGCTGAGAGAAGTGGAGCCTTCAGTGGGAAGAGGAAAATCCACAAAATAGATTGAGAGAAAAAGCACAAGACCTGGGAAAGAAAAAGAGAGGGAATAAAACGAAGGAGCTTAAATAAAGTTCGAGAAAAGTATGTGAAAGTGTCAAAAGATAAGATTTGTCATACAAAAAAAGCAGAAAAGGAACCAAGAGAAGTAAGATTTCAAGCACTGATTCATTACAAAAGTGTTGGGGACTGAAAAGAAGAAAAGCCATGATCATGAAGAGAGGTTCAATCCCTGTATGGATCCCAGAATTTATTCACTTAAGAGTTGGACTAGAGGATCCTTGTGGATCCTTTCCACTCAGAATATCCAGTAAAATTGCTCCAAACATACTAAGAAGGCCTAAAACTTGATGTTTTGTCAGTTATTACTGCAGAAATTTTTGTAGAGAACACAGGGCACTTATCTGAAAGTCACAGGTGATACACAAATTGAAAACCCCAAATGCAGTATGGACAACACAAAACCAAGCAACCTCCATTACACCTAAAGCCAACATATTCCATGGAAGAGAGCTGAGGAAGAGGACAGGCAGGCAGAAATAGTATTTGAAAAGTCCTCAAACAGAACAGGGTCAGCACACAGACATGGAGCAGCCAGGCACAGCTGACACCTGCTGAACTCTGAATCTTACTCTGCACACTGCAAATTTTCCTAAAATTGGATTCCTGCAGGAATTTTGTGGGGCTGTCAGTTTTGCAGAAGCAGAATCCATTCATCTGTATATATGCCAGAGATTTATAGAAATATCTTGCAATGGCACTTCATGCTTGATCCTACTCTTAAACCACCAACCAAATGCCAACTGCACACCCTGTCCAAATTCCCTTTCTACTTTCCATCCCCTTGAGAAGATCTATGACACTATTGACACAATCTGCCTTTTCCTATGAAACATGTAAGGATTTGGCTGTCCTGCACAGGACATTGTGACTGAACTCCAAGTTAACATGAGCAGTTTCTTTATCTACCTTTCTCCCATTAGAAAACGTTTCTTCTGCAGCAGCCATGCTGGAGTCTTCCCCGTCTCTCTCCTCTTCTCCTGGTTCTTGCCCAGTGTCTTTTGGCTGCTCTAACTCCTCACTATGTGAGGCCTCCTGCCTTGGCAGCCCTTGGCACTGCACCCACAGGGGAGACACGTGGTCGTAGCGGGTGTGCAGCACACGAACGGCCACGCTGCTCAGAGCCAGCGATTTGGGCAGGTCAAAGCCATGCCCTGCCTCCTGGAACACGTGGCTCTTGAACCTGGGAAAGGCAGTGACAACAACAACAGGCCCTGGTAAGATTGGCAGCACTTCATTTGGTGTTTCCTCACAAACGGTCAAATCTCTTTTGGGATTTTTGGCACCATCCGAGAAATGTTGTGGGATGTCACAGCTGTCTGTAAGACCTTCCAGCAAAGCCACTACTGCATCAAGGGGATCAGAAATTTCAAAAGTAAATCTTGACAGGATGACAATGAAGCAGGATCAGATGGCAGCTCTTCTAGAAACTACAATCCTGGTAAAACTCACTGATTTATTGGGAAAATCCTTGCAGAGCTGTCTGTGTTACATCACTCTCAGCACCTTTCAAAATAATTCTAATAATACTTATTTTTTTATAAGATAAGCTGGTCACAAGTTCTAAAAATCTTCTAGAAAGCAACACTTATTATTTGAATTGTTGGTTGAATATTTTTAGTGCATCTCTCTGCTGGCCAAAAGGTTTTAACACCAGAGCCATATGGGCTCTTCCTGCAGGTCAGTCTGACATTGCTCAGCACCCACCCTTCTACTTATCTTAACAAAACTCACAGCAACAGGTCCTTTGTCAAGCTAAAATCCTTTTAATAACTTATTCCTTATATTTATGGAGTGGGAGTAGGAAGTCTGCTCAAAAATCTCATTTTGAAAATGTACCATTTAAATGGTAATCCAATAAAACCACAAAACTTACATTCAGAAATGACAGTGTATCCCAGGCCCTAAAATATTTTCTCTGAGTGAGCACAAAGTATCATTCACTGCTTTGCAAGCAACTAGAACAACTTAGAAAATATTAAATGCATCAGCAAGAAACACTGCTTCCAGAGGAATTTCAATTCTCTATATTAGCTTTATTGTTTTTCTCCCAAATTTGTTCTGGCAGCGACAGAGTTCTGCTGTTGCATTTTAAGAAAGAAATTTATACATCTCTAAACCACTCCTTAGCAACAGCCAGCACTGAGTCTGCAGAATGGATGCTATTCAACATCAACAAAACAAACCCAACAAAACAAAACAAAAACAAAACCAAAAAATGATGAGAAAGTGATTCTTGGTGTTTACTCAACAAAGCCGGCCTCATTTCAAATTAATAATTTCAGTGTACCTTGCTTTCTTCTTCAGATTAGCCCAAATACAGAAAGTACTATTTTTATCTTTTATGGCTGTGTGCATATTCCCAGTTTCAGCATCTTCATACATACTAGCTGTCTACAAAAAAAAAAAAAAAAAAAAAAAAAAAAAAAAAAAAATAACGTATTATTTATTTCAAAAAAAAACAAAAACCAACCAATTAAATAACGTATTATTTATTTCACTTTGATATACCTACATTTACTTGAATAAATAAATAAAAAATACATGGAGGAATAAAATATACCAGGCCAAGCCCAGCTGTGTTTATGTCTATTTATGTACTACAGCACAACAGTTATAAACTCAGATCTGTTTCTTAAAATTTGAACTACATTCCTCTTTTTCCTCTGACTTCATAAATTCTGTGAGCCAAGTACTGCCAAATGGGGGTTCTTCCATTATTTCCCTAATTCTCAGGATAATTTATAAAAAACAGAAAGAGGATTTACTGAGCAGTAACGGACTCTTATCCCAGAGTCACTGCACAGATTGTTTTATAATTTAGGCAACATCAAACTTGTGAAAAACTAATTATATTGGGAGCTTAATCCTAAATTCAGTAAACAAAAATTCAACATTTCTTAAGGTTTTGACTGTGCACATACAACTGGTTCACTATTCCACTAATATTCCTTTGCTAAGCATACTTTATATACATGATTAATATTCTTGAAATAGCAAGGTCACTACCTACATATGCAGCTCAAAAAACTGATTCTCCAGCACAATTTAATTTTCTTGTTTGATTACCCTTCACCTTTCCCAAGATCATAGTTTCAAAAGTATTTTAATCACATGAGCTTGTGTTAAAAAAGGTGTACAAGGCAACATTATGAGCCGCTTTTAACATCTACATTTTTTTGGTACAGTCAACAAATCTTATACAGCACTTCCTGTTTTCATCACCTCCAAAACTCAAAAAATTTCCCAGTGGTTTATTCCTGTCTGGCTTAATGATGAGATTTTCCACCATAAAGTTCAGATTTTCAGGAGTTTTGAATAATTACAAAGTCTGGTGAGTGCTATAAACATGATTTGGAAACTCACAGACTCATCTCTGTGACAGTTTAGGACCAAAGAAAGCCAACCATCATTAAAGGACACCTGGAGTTAAACTCACGTGCACATATCACAGCTTTGAAGGACTAAATCTCACTCACTTTCAGCAGGTTCTGTGTAGCCTCGTTGTACTTCTTATGAAGCAGATCCTGCAATTGCAGAATAAATTCCTGGTACTGGTCTCGTTGTTTTTCTGTGATCTCATCTGGTGATGTCTCCAACAGAAGAGATTCCAACTTTTCAATCAACTAGAAGACATTTACATGGGAAAAGTATCTGTTTTGACAGATCCTTAACATCCTTAATATATTGTGTGTTCTGTCATATAAAACGAGGCAAACCTACTTCCTTTGTACCTAAACACATTTTAGTCACAAAAACAATCTTTTTTTTTAAGACAGATAGGAAATCTAACCCAGAACCAAACCAGCCCAATGAAACCCGTATTACACATGCAGCTTTCCCCTCCCCAGTTTCCAGAAGACTCCATTTAACTTTCTGAAAAACACCATAAAGTCGGCATAAATGAAAATAAAGTCCTAAATTTACAGAGCAGGCACAGATTGCTTAAAATTGCTTCACAAGCTATCAGTGGCTGGTGACTTCTGTTGGTAAAAATCAAATCTGGGAACTTTTATTCTTACATGACGTTTTACTGGCTCAAGTGTTACAAAATGAAGCTCTTGTCCACCAAAGCATTTGTATCTGACATGAGCTTGTATGCTCTGGTTTAAAATGGAAGGGAATATGGGTGTTGGAATGCTAGAACTCAGTGTAGAAATACAACACACAAATCCCTTAAATGCACATTGAAAGTCAATATATGTCTTCAGAGTTAATAATAAATCTGTACTTAGAGAAAAATAGAAAAACAGAAGAAAAACTTCTAGGTGTTGAAGGTCTTTTGGTTATTTGGCTATGAAAAAAGGGAAAACAGAGTTAAAGGGGGCTGTTAAGCTTAGACTGAAATATGCCATTTTAACACTTACTTTTAGGACCACTTCCTCCTTCTCCATCACAAGCTGAACATCCTCATCTTGGTTATCATGCCACAAGCTCATGAAAGTGTTGATTTCCTGAGGTACAGTGGGGTCAGGAGTCCCATCACAGCTGAGGTAATGCTCCCACTACAGAAGAGTTCAGAGAAAAGTGGATGCAGGTGTGCTGCACAGTGCTATTACAAGAAAAAGGGGGATTCTGGAAGACAAATATATTATAGTGACAAATTTACACCTGCATCTAAACAGGATTCTAACACCACCTGGTTTATTATCCCTATGCCAGGAAAAAAAGGTTTACTTTGATATTAATGTGTCTGCCCACCTCACATTTGCTGTTTATACCTATTTATCAGTGAGCTCTGCTCTGCTCCACAAAAGCAATGAATTCAGTACCTGCCACAAGAGAGGGGCTGGAGAAATAAAATGACTGAGAACAGAAATGAGGAAGGTGCAGGTGGAAGTGACAGGTGGGTCTTGGATCAGATTCTGCCAAGAAAACAGAAAATTCCTGCACTGGCAATAAAGTTCATTAAGAGCCTCTACTGTAACATGTTTACTCTTCCTTTCTCTGCCTCTTAAGGAGATTTTGTCTCCCTTACCAGCATCAATTCTCCTGTTGCAGAAACCCCTGGTAGGAATACGAAATCCTAGATTAGTGGGTTTTAAAAATAATTTTATTTTCAAATCAGCTCTTGGTCATTCCTATAAGTGGTGGAAAGAAAAAAAATCAGTGGCAGACTAAACCCATCTAATGCCAAACATAAGCCTAACATTGGCTCCTGGGATCAATTTATCATCCATAATGGAATTTTTTTCATCCACAGAATAGGACATTAAGGAAACAATGCCCTCCTGTTTGCTGTGAAGATTAATAACCCCATGTTACTGAAAATTGCATTACAAAGGAAAATGTACCTTTTAAGGCAAAAGCACTTATAGGATTGCATTCCCAACCACTTCCATCAGCATTCCCGCTGACTTCAAATAAAGCAACAATAGGTGAGTGCTGAGTGCACTGGAAACTCCTGCATAAAAGACTAATCAATTTTCAGTAATAAGACTTTGATTTTGGGTTTTTTTACATATTTTACTTAAAAGAGAGCTTCACTTTTATCATCACATTCTTAGAAGTAAGAGCACTTTTTTTGAGAAAAAGGATAAATGTCATGGTAAGTTGTAAATGCATGTCTGTTGAGGAATGGCTTACTGATCAGGGTCATGGGTCTTTGGAAGCATTGTTTGAACAATCCCCTTGTTGATCAGAATAAGACAGGCTGTACATCATTTTGCAAGTATTGCAATGTGTGCTGATGTGACAAGGACACTCTAATCTTGTCATCCTGCTCTATGTAAGTATTGCAATGTGTGCTGATGTGACAAGGACACTCTAATCTTGTCATCCTGCTCTATGTAACTTTAGAAAACTTTCTCATGAGAACAAGGAAGAAACCTGGCAAGAAGAAACATTAAGGTAGAGATCAGTGTACAACCAATCAAAATGTGACAGCTGTACTAGTTGCTTGCTAAGTGTATAAAAAGCCATTGTAACAGAGAATAAATGGAGCTTGCTTTATCAATCACACTGATTGTCTGCTTGTCTCCCCTCGCCGTCGCTCGTGTCCCCCCCCACATCTTCATCCAAACTGAAACTGTTCAGAAGTACATGTGGAAACTCAGTATTTGGTATTATATATTTCTTTTGCCCTAAATAATCTTAACAACAGATTGAGAGAAACTCTGGTATTTCCCATAATCTACCAGTGTTTCATCAGACTTATTTTAAAATCAATAGTTCTAGTTTGTCAAAAACATCCATAAACAACAGCTGGCAATGATCACAAGCTGTGACAGGGAAATGCCAATGGCATTCAGAGAAAAATTGTTATAGTGAGAGTGTTAAAGCTGTCAAAGATGCTGTGGTACCTCCAACTTTTAAATATGTCAAAGCCCAACTGAGCACCTTGATTTAACTTCAGACTTTGCCCTGCTTGGTGCAGGAGGCTGAACTACAGGAATTTCACAAGTCCTCTCTAACATGATTTATCCTATGATTGTGAAGTTATTCTGCAGAGACTTTGAAAGGATTAAGCAATACACAAGACAAGGAGAAAATCCTTGTGTCCACAGGCCTGTAGGATATTAAACCTTTGGTTCCTTACCTGACCAAATCTCATTACCAGACTGTTACTGAGTGATGTGTCTGCAAGATTCAAAGAGTGAAATCTGCTGTGTTTCCACACCTTACCACTTCAAATTGAACTTGACAGGTACATAATGCCATTGGGTGATGATTCAACCACCATGGATGTCATCCTAAGCTGCAGACATCAACTTCTAGCTGCATTTTCATATGTTTTCAGCCCTGACCTGGGTTTGTGCCACATCCTTCAAAAATCTGGCAAACTTCTCTCTCTGAATGATGACCTGTGATATCCAGGAACCACTGAAACAACTGTTCTACAGAATTTCTTTTTAAGTCCTGGCAGAACATTTTTTTTGATGGAACTGTTAAATGCAGGATGAATTACAGAAATAAAAGAGGAAGAAGAGATACCAGAACATCTGAAATTACAATTCCTTGTGACTCTTGGGCTAAGGTGTGGGGCATTGATACTTTGATCACCAAACAGGCTCCTCTTTGCCCAATTTCTTTTCTGTGTGCTCCAAAGTAAAGATGATAAGAGAGTGAGCATGGCCTGTCACTGCTTTGAGATGGAATTTGAAAGGCTGTCATAGCACACATCTACATTAAAGAACTGGAAATTCCTAAAGTCTCCCTTGCCAAACCTCTGGGCAGATTTTGGCAAGAAAGCTTACCTTGGCTTGTTCTCTGTAATCCATTTTCCACTGCTGTGCAGAAAGAAACTTCTGTTCCAATGAATTAAGTTCTGCTAGTTCAGACTCCCTCTCCCCTTGATACTGTTAAAAAATATATATCAAACAGAGCAGTTAAATATTTGGCTTATTTTCTACAATTATTTCACACTGAAGAAACAAACTGGGGATGTTTGAATGAGTTATTATTTAAACAAATCCAAAACACTGAAAACTTGCTTTTTTATGAAACATCCAATTGAGAAGACTACAGTAGTTTGCAATATGTTATTGTCATCACAGTAGCTGCTAAGCCATATGATAAACATAATGTGACATGTGATTGTAACCTCTCACTTCAACAGTTTCCATAACAGCATCCTGGAGACAGCTCTAATGGGAGCTGCTAAAAAATGTAAGCATAATTTGGAGAAAGCATGCAAGGTTGGGGTTTTTTCCCCCTTTTAATTTCTATTCTTTTAAGCTCATCTTCTCCCTAGGAAGAAAAAAAATATTCTGTGAAGTACAAGAGGAGTAGACAAGAGTCTATTAAAAAAATAGTTTGTTTAAATATCTTTTTTTCCTTTTAAAACACAAAAATATTTATCTATTACCAGTTAGTTTTTGTTCTGAATACCAGATTGCTCAGAAAAATAAATATACATAGTCTAACACACACACATATATATACAAACACAAATCATTGTATCTGCCTGAGCAGGGAACCAATTAAGGAATTTGTACCAAATATCATCGTGAGGAACATGAAAAATACATTCAGTTGAAAGCACAGTGAAAATGGGGAAAAAAAAAGCATTTAATCAAACTGAAGACACACATATCACAAAAGGTAATGTATTTAAATTCATCAAAACTGGAAAATTTCCTCAATATTTTTCCCAATGATAAGTACATAAGGATATTAATTCCTATAAATTACTGGTGTTTTACAGGCCTTGTCTCAAGTTGAGAAATGGGATTAGATTTTTTCATTTGAGTAAAAGACTAACCTTTGCCTCAAGCTTTTTCAAGTGCTCTTGACGTAGTCTCTCCTTTTCAAGCCTTTCTGCTTCTTCTTGTTCAGCTTGTAATAGGGCCTCCTCTGAGGATTGGAAAAGAGATCAAAGGCATAACTATGCTTTCCTAAATAAAATCTAAAACATGATTTGGCTACCAGCTGTAATGATAAAACCACTATAAAATGAACAACATAAATGTTTATCTTTCACTGCACAGAAATCTCCCATATGAAGACTGATCCAAATTAATCTGAATTTTACTAAAACACACTGTCTCTGGAACTGCCCTTATCAGTCTGTGAGGATAAAAGTGGAAATAAAGATCAGCAAATGCAGCAGTAGGAGTGCTCTCTCCATCTACAGCTTCAATGGACACAGGTTCTCAATCCAAAGTCTTGAGTGAAACTCAGTGCTTTAATCCCAAATTCCTCTTCTTTCCTACAATCACTGGTTTCCTACAATTTCAATTTTACAGCTGTTTGTTTGTTTAAATCCTCTTTAGGATCTCCTACTCCACAGTTCTGGCTTCTCTTTGCTGCCATAGGGACTAGAAAATTAGAGAGGATGTGAAAACTACTACTGATTCAACCTCTAAACCTTCAGTCTAAGATGGCACAGCCTGTGTCAATCCAGATGTTCCCAAACAGTGATTTGATGTCATCACCCCCAAGTAAATCATGCCAAGCGTGTGTGCTGCACTGAGGCAAGGGCAGCAGCAGTTCCCAAATCTGCCTGTGCTCACCTGAGCTGCCACTCCCACAAAATCCTACCAGTGATTAGCACTCACTTACTGGCACTCACAGCGTGCCCAAGCCCCCATGGGATGGATTAATGGCAAGTTAATTCTTCTCAACTTCCTAATTGCAGTAGGAATAACTAGAGAAGAGAGTATTGCTCTGATAGGGAAGTGAGATGCTGCATCAAGGAACAGGGAATTTGGCTCACACCAGAAGAGAGAGAGGAATCATTTGTACTTGTGAAACAGAGACAGCAATTCACATCTAGTTCATGATGTTACTTGCTGCCCATTTATCTAAAATAAATGATTTGTCCATCATATTCCCTCTAAATGAAGTGCACAGTACCTTTCAGTTTCTCTTCCCCTTTCTTCGATTTTCTACTTTTGCCATTGGACTTCATGTTTGCAATAAGGGAGAAGAAAAGAAAGGTCAGTATTATTTTAATACAATTTGGCAATTCTATAACTCTGTGACTTTGCCCTTCCAATGTGACCCCTCAATTAAGATTTCAGACTCCCTAGGCAGCCAATGAAGGCCCCAGAATAGTAATGCACATTATGGACTCAGTTTTCTTCTCCTTTTTATGATAAGGTCTTACAAATAATGTATTCTTCTATGCTAGACATTCCTAAATACAGCCACAACACAGGAGTATTAAAATATTTTAGTTTAATGTAGAAATTGAATAACAGGTAGATCTGATAAGAAAGTAGATGCTACTTTCTTCAAACATTTTAGGAAATACTGGAAAATGTATTTTGGGACCAGCCTGGCATCTAGAAGCATCTAATTCACAAGACAAATACCAAAGAGTTATCTTTTCTATTATAAAATCTCACTGCAACTCCAGACAGTTCACTGTTCACCTCCAGCATAATCCTAGAATAATTACATTTTAAATTTGAGGTTCTCAGAAATTATCTGACCGCTGGTCCTTCACACACCAAGTGTGTTACAAATACTCTTATTTCACACTTTGATTCTGACTATCACACATTCAGATATAAATAACTACTTGTTCACTTCACACTACTTGGTATGGAAATAAATATATTGGCATAAATATATATATAAAAATGCAACTTTGAGTTCAGAGATTGCCATGCAGTTGGGACAAATAAAACGGTGATAATTAAGTGTCACCAGAGTCTAAGTGCATTTTATTGCATTTGTTACCAAAGCATTCATTTGCAAAATTACCCCAAAACAGAGTCAGTAAAACTCACACTTCCACCCATTAGGATTTCAGGGAAGAATTTGTTCTTTCCACTTTGATACATAAATAAATCGAAAATGGAAAATCTGCTTGTTTCAATTACTTGCAATCATGTTTTAGTCAATTTCTTTTCACATTCCTATGACTTAACAGAGCACACTGAGAAGAGTGAGATGCACAGCTGGGGAGGGGTAGATAAAATTCATTATCACTGAATTAAGAATAACCCACAGGATAAATTTATGCAACTCAGTTTCCCATGGACTTCTGCCTCTTGTCCCTTCACCCCCCTTATTCTGTGTCTAGACTATGGCTCAAATAACAGAATCCCAGAAACATTCAGGTCGGAAAAGACCTCCAAGATCATCAAGTCCAAGCTGTGCCTGATCCCCACCTTATCACCCAGCCCTGGGTGAGCACTGAGTGCCACTTCCTTGGATAACTCCAGGGATGGTGACTCCAAACCTCCCTGGGCAGCCCCTTCTAATGCTTGACAAACCTTTCGTGATGAAATTCCTGCTGATGTCCGACCTGACCCTCCCCTGGCACAGCTTGAGACTGTTTCCTCTCATGTTGTCCCTGTTCCTTGGGAGCAGAACCCAAGCCCCCTGGCTGCCCCCTCCTGTCAGGGAGTTGTGCAGAGACAGAAGGTTCCCCCCGAGCCTCCTTTTCTCCAGGCTGAGCCCCCCCAAAGCTGCTCCTGGTGCTCCAGTCCCTTCCTCAGCTCCTTTCCCTTCTCTGGACACACTGCAGCCCCTCAATGTCCGTCTGCAGTGAGGGGCCCAGAACTGGACACAGGACTGGAAGTGTGGCCCCACCAGTGCCCAGCAGAGGGGACAGTCACTGTCCTGGTCCTGCTGCCACCCCATGGCTGGGACAGAGCCAGGACATTGCCTCTCTGCCTGGACACCCGTTGCCAAGCCAAACAAACCAAACAAGCAGTGGCAGCACTGCAGGAACACTTGGTCTCCTTGCAAAAGGCACAAAGGCTCGGTGTCCTGGAGACGCCTCTTCCTCCTTCAGATTCAATTAACCCTGACCAGTTGCCTCAGGAAAAAAAACAGAAAATCTGATTTAAAAAAAAATTAAACACAACAGTGAACTACAGCGTGTTTCTGCCTACCTACCTTTTTATTCGGTTTTGGACCCTAAAAGATCAGAAGGAAAAAAAAAAGGAAAGGAAACATCAGAGAACAACGTATCAGCTAGAATGGAATAGTTAAGAAAATACTACTATTCTTTAAAATTGGATGTGATCATCTAATGAAAAATTATAATTACAATAATTTCAATACTGTAGAAAATTAACCATTAACACATGGCTCTTGGAATGAAGTTTGTTGCCACAGAGCCATTCTGGCAACAAAGTGCGAGCCACCTCCCGGCTTGTTCCACAGAGCAACCACAGCAGCAAACCACTGCACAAGGACTGACACCGGGGCTCACACATGAGACAACGCGTCCTTCAGGTGCTTCTTCCAGCCTTAAAGCCTTTTTCCACCTCCTGCGACTTTGGTAACTAACGAGGAACGCCCCGCTTTACTCCACCATCTCATCCTTCCCCATCCCACCACCCATCCTTCCCCTGTCCACCATGCCCCTTACCATGTCCCGCGGCGGGTGGCGGTGCCCGTGCCCCCGTCTCTCAGGACGCCGATCCCGTGCCCGTGTCCCCGCCCCTCAGGATGCCGATCCCGTGCCCGTGTCCCCGTCTCTCAGGACGCCGATCCCGTGCCCGTGTCCCCGTCTCTCAGGATGCCGATCCCGTGCCCGTGTCCCCGTCTCTCAGGACGCCGATCCCGCCGATCCCGCGGCTCTCCGCAGGCCCCGCCCGCAGCCCCGCCCGCGGCTCAGGCCCGGCCCAGGCCGGCCGCGCTGCCGTAAAGCAGCGTTGCCGTAAAGCGGGCGCTGCCGTAAAGCAGCGCTGCCGCGGTTCCGGGAGCAGCGGGTGAGATCCCGGTCCGGCCTTGCCGGGATCCGCGGGGAACCGGGGATGGCTCCGGGGGGAGCGGGGCGGCAGGCAGAGCCAGGGGGAGGTGGCGGCCCGAGGAGGCCCCGCAGCGGGAGCTGGACTGGATTCCAGTCGCTTGCGATTTGGTTTTGGCCGCCCCGGCCCTGGCAGCGTCCAAGGCCAGGCTGGACGGGGCTCGGGACAAGCTGGGATAGTGGGAGGTGTCCCTGCGCACGGCAGGGGGTTGGGACAAGATGATCTTTAATGTCCTTTCTAGCCCAGGCCTTTCTGTGATCTTGTGTTTACAGAAATAAAAATCAGTTACTTTGTCATTTATCCTTACGTTTTGCCGGTGCACACTGGACTCAATTTGTAACACACTTAAAGAGTCCTTAAAAAAGCAAAATATATGAATGCGACAATTGCAGGAATATACATGTGTATGTATAAAATAGATATATCTATATATGCAATACAGTAATGTGTAATACATAAATATATAGCAGATAAAAATTAATACATCAAAATATGTTATAAGCATTGGTATATGATGCAAATATATAAATTAGCATAATATATAAATTCTATATATTTATATATAGTATATATAATATATAAAATACTTAAAATATGTATTCCATTTTTTTTATCTTTATCATTTTATATGTGTATGTATGAAAGTACAGTTTTTTAGCAGACTACAGAATTGTAAGGGTGAGAGAAAGCAGCCAATGAACAGCACGAAGTGTCACCGTTGTTGGAAGTTTCTTGTTTTCTGTTTGAGGGGGGAGGGGAGAAGACAGTGAGAAGCTAAATGGAATAAAAAGTGAGAAAGAAAAAGAAAGAAGAGACAGTAGAACCAGAATTAGAGCAAATGGGGCTCAGTAGGACACGGAAGTTTTAGGAAGGCTGAGGTGGTTTACTGACTCCCAGAGAAGGCTAATTTCAAATTGATTATCCTTCAGGTAACAAAACCCAAACAAACCAAAAAATCACACAAGGACAGAGTTCACTGAAATGTGAGAATGGCCAATTCTTTAAGAGGTGAAGTGATAAAACTGTACAAAAATGTAAGTGTCTTAAATGCCACCAGCACTTTCCTTAACCAGAAAATGAACCCCCTTTTCACTGTGCACTCAGTTAATTAAAAACACATTATTCTTTTCTCTTCAAGCTGCTGTACCTTGGAAGGGAGTATCCCAAAGGAGCAGACTACTTCAGAAGCCGTTTGAAAGCAGCTTTTCTAAAAAACAAAGATGAGACAGACCCTGAAAAAATTAAGCAACTGATTGCCCGTGGAGAATTTGTTATAAAGGAGCTGGAGGCTTTGTACTTCCTGAGGAAATACCGAGCCATGAAGCAGCGCTACTACAGCGACGACAAGCCCTGACTGTGCCTGTAACCACACACCCCCAGGAAAGGTAACAATAAAAGAGCTCTTGCTGCAAGAGAAGTGAAATGTAAATCCTTCCAGGCCCTCTAGAGCACAAATCAGGGAGCTGCTTCCCCGCCAAGAGTCACTTGAAAGGTTGGGGTGTGCAGATTATGGGTAATAGGCTTTTCTCTGCTGCTTTTGACCTCCTCAAACTGAAACGTCAGGTATGAAATGATTTTGCAGGAAGGAGTGGTTGCACAGCCCTGTTCTGTTTCACTTCAATGTATGTGTTGAACAGAAACTCTTCTTACCCCATAGCTGTGTGTTTGGGTGTCAGTTCAAGGTGCTGTGCTTGTTACCTGAAAGATGAACCTGATTCTAAAAATTCTCCACATTGAATGATCAGTTTCCACTAGAAATGAGCACCCTCTCAAAAGTGAAGTTCTCAGCCCTGGAGAGGCAGTGCTGTGTTCAGTTCTGGTCTCCACAGTTCAGGAAAGACAAGGAGCTACTGGAGAGGATCAAGCAGAGGCCATAAACATGAAGGGTCTGGAGCCTCTCTTATGAGGAGGGACTGCAGGAGCTGGGCCTGTTTAGTCCAAAGAAGAGAAGACTGAGAGGGGATCTCATCAATGCATATAAATATCTCAAGGGTGGGTGCCAAGAGGATGGTGCTAGGCTCTTTTCAGTGGTGCCCAGCAACAGGACAAGGAGCACTGGCCATAAACATAATGCAAGAAGTTCCACCTCAGCATGAGGAAGAATTTCTGTACATTGAGGGTGGCAGAGCCCTGGAACAGCTGCCCAGGGAGGGCCTGGAGTCTCCCTCTCTGTGGACATCCCAAACCCACCTGGACTTGTTCCTGGTGTCACCTGCCCTAGGTGACCTGCCTGGGCAGGGAGGTTGGATTAAATGGTCTCCAGAGGTCCCTTCCAACCCTGATTGTTCTGTGATTCTGTGAAAGTAAATTCTTGAAGCTTTTAACTTCATCTGCTCAACTTGCAGAGGCACCACCTTGCTTTGTCAGGGAGACAACTGCAGGGTCAGGAAAGGGGCAAGTTTGAACAATAGTGCTTTAAGCACTTGGGCCCTGAAGACAATTCCTGCTACTGCTGATTTCTACTGTTGTGTAACTGCTGCAGCAGGAGGAGAAAACTTGATCTTTGCCCCGGAAGAAAAGTTTGGCTGGCCATGGCTCCAGGCTGTCTCTGTAGGCCTTGGCTCATCTCACACTTGTGTCAGAGCTGATACTCTGTTGGGTTGGTTGGTGTTTCCACCAACTAAATGACACTGGAGAAAGAAATAATCTTTGAAATATAGGTAAGGAATCACTGCAGTAGAGCTGTTTGCAGTAGTAAGTCTTCACACTGGCACTAAGGAGTGCTTTAAGGTCACTCAAGGAATTGCCAAGAAAGGCATCAGCAAAACCAGATTTTACATAAAAGTGAGTGTGAGAAAGTCCATTCAACAACGTTCACTCCACTATTTACTGGGGGTTTAAAGCATACAAAGAAATAGCAAACTAAAATCTACAATCAATCAATCAAAAACGAAAATCCACCAAAACTTATCTCTGAGGATGCTGGGGATACAAAAAGAGTAAGGATGGAAAAGGGTATGGATAAAAGGAATAAGGGAGATTCTCCCATTAAATCACAAAATTCAGAGTGGACCTCCTTGCAAAACTGAGCCCCAGACCTGACCAGTGGTTTATGCCTGAAGGTTTAACAGCATAGCTTAGTTTAAAACAATTTAACTAAAGATTCATACAGAATTTCCTGTAAGCACAACAGCAACTCACTCATAGGCCTGAGTTACTTGCAAATCTACAGTATTTCGAATCTCTTGAGAGCACTATCCATTGTACATTCTCTATAGCACACCCACACTCACAAACAGTCCTGAAGTATGTACAAGGTATAAAATTCCCCTGGAATTCACTGAAGCACTCACCTTGGATACCTTTACATCTTGTCAGGGGCTGGAGGGTTGAACCTCAAGGAAGGGGGGCATCATCCCATGCTCTGTTGTCACTGCTAGTCCTCCAAATACAGCAAAGAAGAGGTCACTGGCTCTGAGGGGCCACACACACAGGAGACTTCTGGTCACTGTCCACTGCAGTCCAGGAGAGCTCCGAGGGTCTCACTCAGGCCCACTCTTTATAGGATCACAAGAGGTGGGTTTAGTCACACCTATTTTCCATCCTGACCACAATCCAGGTCGGTAACTTCCTTTGAAATTTCAAAAGCAAAAATGCTCTTCCACTGGAGGTGTTCTTCAGGCAGGCAAAGTAAGTTTCCAAGGCTGTTGGTTACAAGGCAGGGGCTCTTCAGACAGCCCCAATTCCTGGGAACTGTTCCTGAAGAGCTCCAGAGGAGCTCAGCTCAGGTGCTGAATGAGGAGGAGGGAGGGGGGTGCAGCACCATCCTCACAGAATTCTAGCACAGAATTTACAAAGTGATGGCAGAGTACAGTACCTTGTGATGAAACACATGTGCTCCAGTTCCTGCCACCACACTGATGTGAAAAACTCTTCCACATCAACTGATGTGGACTTCCACAACTTCCAACTTCCACATCACTCTGCACTTCCACCTGCTCTGAGCAGCTGCCCCTCTCAGAGACAGGGACACCAAGGGGGGCAAGGACAGCAGTTCTGGGACAGGCAGCACCAGCAGGAGTACAAGAAAGAATGGAGAACAACTGCCAAACACACGGAATTCATGGGATGCTCTGTTACCTGAAATTCTTGAAGAGGCAAAGGAAACTGGGACAGACACTCACAATAACTATTTTTTATTACATTACAATAAATAGGAGCAGTACAGTTTGACAAAAAAATGACAAATTCCAGATCACCTCACAGCACATACTCCTAAAAACATTAAAAATTTTAAAACAAACAGTGGTCTTTTTTTTTTCCTTTTTTTAACTTAATGTCTGGCATGACCAACATTCCTAGGTCACACAACCAAATTATGGAAAAACTGGATCACACTGCATATGTTCCACATCAAATAAAGCACAATGTACAAAATGTGCATGTTTCAGTTTACACTATACAAAAATAGTTAAAATACATTCCAGGTAAACATATTACATTAAGAAGTCATTCTAGTAAGAAGTTGGCACTCAAGAGGAAAAAGCAGAAGTATTTTCAACATGAAAACACAAGACAGTGGAATAAAGAAATGTTAGGAAAGATTTACCATCTATGTAGCTTTATGTAAACTTGAGACACAATGATTTGTTTTACAGTTTGATGGTCTTTGAAGGTAATAATTGTATTGCTTCATAGTCCAGACAAGAGCAGAAGATTGTGTGTGTCAGTATTACCCATTATCCTGTTACTGTAACAAAGCCCACACAGCAAAAAAGTAGCAAAAAATTTCAGGGCACTGATACTGGTCAGAATAATTCCTTCTGGAGCAAACCAAGGATCCAGGTATTTAGCAGAGTTACATAAAGCTACTGTAAGAAGGTGTTACTCCCTGACACATGGCAGTTGGACACGGTGACATGGGCAGTGACTCCCAGGCTCGCTCAGGAGCTGCTCTCAGGACACACAGCACCCAGGGATGTTCTGTGGAAGCATCTCAAACAGGGCAGGGCAGTGATGATGGAGCAGCCTGTGCAAGCTGCAATCCAACGTGCTTCACCAAATCTCAACAAACAGGAAGACAAAACTGCACAACAGTGGCAAGGATGGGGTTGGGTTGAGGTTTTTTTCAAGTAAATAAGGGCTAATCTAAGTGGATTTTTTACTAATTTAATTAGACTGGCAGCTACAGCTCACTTTTGCTGAAAAACCCCAACATTGGTTCATGTATATGTTGGTAGTAGAGCTACAGAAATCCACTTTTGATGAATAAGACATTTCAGCTACAAATTCTCCTAATAGCTTTTAGTTAAATTAACATCAGAATTTTAGACCAGCCCTAATTTGACATGCAGTGTGACTCAGTTACCAAAATTAAAACTAACCTTAAGATTACTTCCATTTGCTCAAGGCTTACAACCCACTTTTGCTATGTTCTTGTATTATCAAGTGTATAAAATGTGCAAATAACGGTCTCCAACACATTTTAACCTTGGAAGCTCTGAAATATTTTGTGACATTAAGAGTCTGTTCTTGCTCCTTATTGGTCCTTACAGTATAAAGTTAAGTTCTCCTGTTACTGCTTTTCAGAATATTTCATTTCACATTGAAGCTGAGAGGAATGGAGGGCTCTGGGTTTTGTGAAGGGTGGGAATGGAGGGCACAGGCAGGGAAAGGCCTGATTTCTCCCAGACACAAAGAAATTAAAGAATATGAAGCAATCCACACACTCTGTGTTCCCTGCCAGCTTTGCAGGTCCCCACCTACAACAGTCACTCTTGGATTTTTTTGTAGAAGCAAAATTATGCTTTTCACAGAAATGGTCCAAGTTACACAGTGCAATTGTTACATATCTGTGTAAAATTTCCATGGAATACCTTAGGTTAGGGCAATGCTGCTATTCCCTGTTCCAAATTTTCCAGTGTCCCCAACAATCCTACTTCAATGTCTTGTGTTTTATTTTTTGGGTACACCAGAGTCACACCTTCCAGTGTCACTCTGCAGCTGAGCTAGCTCCTGTGAAGAAGTGCACCTTCAGGGACCAAAGCTTTCCTGAAACAAACAACTCCACATTTACAGGGAGACACCAGGAACTGGAAACACTGGAACTACTGGCTCCTACTTCTGTGGATAACTAGGCTACTGCAGTACCAAAAAGTGAAAGCTCTTGCAAAAATCCTGCATTAATTCCAATTAAAAAAAAATAAAAAGGTGAGGGGAGAGAAGACAAAAATCACAAGAGAACTTAATCACAGAGAAAGACAACATTAAACTCTTGGTGTTGTTTCATGACAGTCTAGACACTGGAATGCCACTCACCAACCATTGAATCAGTACTTCACAGACATCACACAAACAACACTGACTCTGGAAATCATGTTCTATGCTGACAGATTGTGCAAATTCCACACCACTTCCATGGCATAGTGAATTTCCAAATTATTTGCATGAAGCAGCTAAATTCAACTCTTTC